GTAGTCCTGTTATAATATGAGTATAGCTGATTTCTATGTTTCCCTTTTTGCTTTCAATTTCTAACACAGAAGCGGAATTCTAGGGAATCAAAAACCACTCACATTTATTTTGGGATGGCAAAAGCCTTATCTGCTGAGGAATGACTTTGTCTTAACACTTGAATAAAAACCAATCATAAAAGTTCTTGTGGGAATTCTCTATCCACTCTTTAGAAATGTTTGTCACCTGATACATGTCCTGAAGGAAAAAGCTAACTTTTCACTTTTTATTAAAGGGAGGGCAGAAAGAAGAAAGCCTTAAAAATACATTTCAGGTGGAATGCTAGTTGATACCTGATTACAGTGGGAGAATCTATACTTAGGAACTGAGCATGGCAGGAATTCTGTGCAAAAAATGGTTGCTGCTCGTTGCTTTGGAAAAAGGAAAAACCAGGATGTGAGAAGGGCTCTTTCAAGAGTAGCTTCATTCTCACAGATGCCTGATGACTGGCCTGTCTTTGAGTTTGCTTTGAGTAGCTTCATTCTCACAGATGCCTGATGACCGGCCTCTCTCTGATCCTGCTGCTGGTCCTGAGGTGGGGATCCTGTGCTCCAGAGAGAAGGGGTTCAGCCACAGGGGGAGATGAGCCTGGAGGAATCCTACATGGGGTGGGAGGGAGAGGGGGCGATGGTGGGACCCATGGGCCGGGATGGTGTCACTAGAGACAGGCACAGACCAAGCCATGGCAGTGAAGGCAAAAAGGGTGCCACACCCTGCTGGACACATGGGAGATGGACACAGGTTTAAAGTCCCCAGAGGTGCAGGAGAGCAGTGTGGGTGGAGTGGAGGAGGGTGTCTAAGTGTGTGTGGTTCTGGAAGTGAACCCAAAGCCGGGAAATGTGCCCCAGACCTTCTCTGAGCAGAGTGCAGTCACGGGCAGGAATGGCTTCTCATCAGTCTGCTGACCTTGGAGAGGCCCTTGCTGGGAGTTGGTGCACTGGCAGCTTAACGCCAACAAGAATCTGACCAGGAATGTGGTCCTCCAAAATCTGCTGACAGAACATTCCATTATGCCGGGCCCGTTCAGGAGTTTGTGGCATTTAAAATCAAGCATATTAGAGGCTGCAATAAGTCCTACTCTCATTCTTACATCCCTCCCTTTCTGGAAATCTGGGAGGAATATTTCTTTTGTAGCCTCCTTATGGGAAGGTGTGCATGCATGCGTGTTTGTGTGTGTGTGTTTTCTTAGTAATCATTTTTTTCTTAGAATTTAATGCTGAGAGATTTCTCACATCCAAATAAGGTACCCTCTTTGCATACAAAGGGACCTATCATATCTTATTTTCCTTTTTGCCTTCATATCTGGAAAATTTGGAGTTAAATTTATATGCCCATGGCTGTAGCCATTCAAACTCAAGTTTCTGCCAGAATTGTCTCTCTTTTTATCCCCACAGGAAATTGCTTTAATAATTGACTTATGGGGGGAACTGAAGCCAAAGTTTTCCTTGTGTAGGAACATTTATGTGATGTTTATACACATTATCTCCTTTAATTCCCACAATAATGAATATCCTCCCCACTTTACTGCTGCAGATACTGAGCAGCAAGTTTAAAGGATCCTGAGGTTTCC